AAATAATATATGACATTAAAAATACCTGCCGTGACCATTTAAAACAAATATAAAATAAATAAATGAAGCTTAATTCTTATTTATTATGACATTAATTATAACAATCTTATGATAATTTGAACAACGTTTTATATAATTAGAACGTCAAAAGAAGTTAGAATGACAAAGTGTGGAGGGACGAACATATCGAGCTTCCTTGGTGACCCACGACTTAGACACATTGGGTTTGGCTTTAGTGGCAATGGACCATAGGCTCGTTCCAGTCCGAGTTCATATGTAACTTAAAAAAAATAAATTAAAAAAAAATAAATTTTAGCTAAAGAAAAAAATAATGGTATTTTAATGGCTAAACAGATTTTGTGGAATAAAAACTCAAGAAACAAGCGTACCCACAAAAATATAAAATATTAAATCACGAGAAAGGTGGGCCCATCTTTGACCAACACGTGTCAGCCTAGTATCCACGTACGCCCCCAAAGACCGCACGTAACCGGTAGACTACGAGGTTGATAACCGCCACGTCTGATACAAACAAGCCACGTAACCAATCCCCCAACAGGTTCTGTACGGAAAACTCCCAACCGTCTCGCCCACCGCCTACTTATAAGCCCAATCCCACCTCGGCAAAGTATAAAGCAATTGCATTCGATTAAGTTTATTTCTGTGGCCGGAATCGGAATCGGAATCGGAGTTACAGGTATTTAAGAACAATGGCTAGGAGAATGAAGTCGTTGGCGGCGGTTTTGTGGGTGGTGGTGATTCTGTTGGTGGCGGAGAAAAGCAGGGGATGGGCTGAAGAAACAAAGGACAATGTAGCCGAAGCTGCTTCCAACGCAAAGGACAATGTAGCCGAAGCTGCTTCCAGCGCAAAGGAAAGTGTAGCCGAAGCTGCTGAAAAAGCGAAGCTTGGTGAGAAAGCCGAAGCCGTAAAGGAAGGGGCTTCAGAAGCGTATTCAAATACGAAGGAAAGCGTAGCTGAAGCGGCTGAAAAAGCGAAGCTTGGTGAAAAAGCCGAAGCCGTAAAGAAAGGGGCTTCCGAAGCTTATTCAAGTGCAAAGGAAAACGTAGCTGAAGCGGCTGAAGAAGCGAAGCTTGGTGAGAAAGCCGAAGCCGTGAAGAAAGGGGCTTCCGAAGCTTATAACGACGCTAAGGACAAGGCTGGGTCTTGGTCCAATTGGGCATACAACAAGCTTTCCAAGTAATTTTACGTATTATTAAAATCTCCGAAGCAACAAGGTTTTTTGTTTTGTTAATAATGGTGGCGTTATATTTGTTTGGTCAGGGGATTCGGGTTTAAAGATGAAGAAGTGAAGGAGACAGCCCCCGCTAAGGCGGAGAAAGCAGACGAAACCACACCCAAAGGCGGAGAAGCGGCGAAGGAAGTGGCCGGCGAGACGCCCAAACACGAGCACGAGCATGTAAATCCGGCGGAGAAGGAGAAGACCACCGAGCTCTGAGCATAACACATGGATTTTTGCCCTTTATTTTAAATAAATCGAGATTTTGATTTTGATTTTTTTTTTTCCTTTTTAGATTGTGTTGAATAAAATATTCCCTTTGTGATTTTGATTTTAATTTGTGGGCTTGTGAGTGTTATCCATCTTGATTTAAAGTGATACTAAAATGGAAATGGAAAGCATTGGTTACTTAACGTCGAGATGCTTTCGATGATTAGTGCAGTGTTTACTACTCTCTCTCTCGATGGTTAGTGCAGTGTTTACTACTCTCTCTCTCGATGGTTAGTGCAGTGTTTACTATTCTCTCTCTCTCTCGATGGTTAGTGCATCTCGATGGTTAGTGCAGTGTTTACTATTCTCTCTCTCTCTCGATGGTTAGTGCAGTGTTTACTATTCTCTCTCTCTCTCGATGGTTAGTGCATCTCGATGGTTAGTGCAGTGTTTACTATTCTCTCTCTCTCTCGATGGTTAGTGCAGTGTTTACTATTCTCTCTCTCTCTCGATGGTTAGTGCAGTGTTTACTATTCTCTCTCTCTCGATGGTTAGTGCAGTGTTTACTATTCTCTCTCTCTCTCGATGGTTAGTGCAGTGTTTACTATTCTCTCTCTCTCTCGATGGTTAGTGCAGTGTTTACTATTCTCTCTCTCTCTCGATGGTTAGTGCAGTGTTTACTACTCTCTCTCTCTCGATGGTTAGTGCAGTGTTTACTACTCTCTCTCTCTCGATGGTTAGTGCGCAGTGTTTACTACTCTCTCTCGATGATGATGATTAGTGCGCAGTGTTTACTACTCTCTCGATGATGATGATGATGATTAGTGCGCAGTGTTTACTACTCTCTCTCTCTCGATGATGATGATGATTAGTGCGCAGTGTTTACTCTCTCTCGATGATGATGATGATGATTAGTGCGCAGTGTTTACTCTCTCTCGATGATGATGATGATGATTAGTGCGCAGTGTTTACTCTCTCTCGATGATGATGATGATGATTAGTGCGCAGTGTTTACTCTCTCTCTCGATGATGATGATGATTAGTGCGCAGTGTTTACTCTCTCTCTCGATGATGATGATGATTAGTGCGCAGTGTTTACTCTCTCTCGATGATGATGATGATTAGTGCGCAGTGTTTACTACTCTCTCTCTCTCTCGATGATTAGTGCGCAATGTTTACTACTCTCTCTCTCTCTCGATGATTAGTGCGCAGTGTTTACTTACTACTCTCTCTCGATGATTAGTGCGCAGTGTTTACTACTCTCTCTCTCTCTCTCTCGATGATCAGTGCTACTACTCTCTCTCTCTCTCTCTCGATGATCAGTGCTACTACTCTCTCTCTCTCTCTCTCGATGATCAGTGCTACTACTCTCTCTCTCTCTCTCTCGATGATCAGTGTTTACTACTCTCTCTCTCTCTCTCGATGATCAGTGTTTACTACTCTCTCTCTCGATGATCAGTGTTTACTATGAATAAAGTAAGCCTCCTCTTAATTGACATGACTCTCATGCTTTTGTTTTGAGCTTCCTCAAAAGGCCTCACACAAATGCTACTCATCGCTTTGGTACTCACATGGAATTGAGGTATTCTCAATGCATAAACCAAACCAAAGAAATAAAATAAATGAATGAAGAAATTATAAATCAAATAAATGAGATTTTAAAATGAACATGAATACATTCCAGAATCCATAATCAATTATCAAAGTAGTTAGAATCAACATTGACTAAATGCAAAGGATAAAAATCCAATCTTTTTCCCAAAAAAATGGGAAGAAATGACGAGCAAGATCAGAAAAGTGGAAAGAAACTTGAAAAATCGGTCTTTTTACGCCAATTTCATTGCAAAATTGATGAACTAGTGGCTCATCATTTTACCCTTCTCTTCTACGCTGAACTGCGTCCTCACCCGCTTCTTTGCCTTCCCCGACGCTTCTCCGCCGTCGCTTGACGACTCCGCCGGGCCTTCCGCCGAACCGCCGAACGCCATCATCACCGGACCAGCGAAACTCCGCCGCTCTGTCCTCTTACCTTGTATTATAGTTAAATAAAACATAATTTGCCTTTTCATTATTAGATCTCAATATATAATAATAATAGTGATTAAACATACCGTAACTCACGACCTTAATCCGGCCGTTTGCTACATCCACCACCTCTACTACTCTCCGGTGGAAACTCCGGTGGCATTCGCAGGCGGCGCACTTGAACCCATCAGGAGTACCATCATCCCCACTGGGCATGAACTCTCCGCACCCATCGAGCACGTGCCCGCCGCTCTTCACGGCGTAGTTCCTCAAACATTCACGGTAGCGAACCGGAGATGACGGCGCAGGTGGTGGCGCCGCCGGATCTGGGTTCGGAGGAGGGTGATCTCGTCTGGGTCTAAGGGAATAATGAGCGGTTTGATGGTCTCTAAATTCCATTTTGAAACGGTTCTGATTTGGTCTAAGGAGGGTCTGGTTTTGATTTACCCTTCTTTATTAAACTAATGAGATCTACTAATTTAAATATAATATCTTGTAAGATCTTTCTAGCTCTAGTTTTCATATCCCTAATACTTATTATATATATATATATATTAAAAAGCCATCGAGCAACTCAATGCGTTCCTCCGTTCGAGCAACAGAGCCCGTCGAACAATCCTCTCGTTCGAAGATACTAGTTCTCGTGGCCTTATCTTCTAGAGTCTCGACCCTAGTCATTAATTTAAGGATAGACATTGTTTCAAAGTGGTGTGTCATCTCGTTGAACCTATCGACTTTAGCGAACATCTCATTCATGCGAGATTCCAAAAGTCCCATTCTATCGGAAATTTCACTCATGCAGAATGACTGTTCTTTGATTTTAGCTAATCGATCAGCCTAGGACTTGCCCAGTTATTTCTTGGTGGGCATGTTTTCATAATTTTCTATTGAATGAATGGTACATGATTCTACATCGACAAGCACCAAGAAAAGAAGAAACTAATTATTTAGTGCTTCATTTCAATATTGATTGTGAAATTGCGTTGCTGCGTTAGAAGAAGGATAGTTGTACTGATTCGGTATACTTTATAAACACCCTCGGTACAATATTGACGATCTTACAAAGATAAAATTTCAGTTAATTTCCATTTACTGATCTCATCTTTTACGGAATCGATCCCCTTTTGACTCTACAAGAATATGTGGAGCTCGACATGTCTGGAAGCACAGGAGAACGTTCTTTTGCTGATATTGTCACCAGTATTCGATACTGGGTCATTCATAGCATTACTATACCTTCTCTATTCATTGCATGTTGGTTATTCGTCAGCACGAGTTTAGCTTACGATGTTTTTGGAAGCCCTCGTCCAAATGAGTATTCTACAGAGAGCCGACAAGGAATTCTCTGATACCACTTGTTACCATCACGACAATATTTATATAAATATTTATTTATTTATTGGTAGAATATATATATATGTGGATTATTGAAATTTAAATATTTAGAATTTATGATAAGATTAAATTTTTAGCTTTTGAAATGTTATTAATTTTTTTTAATAAATATTATATATTAAAAATGGAAATCCGTGCCATGCCGACAAGTCGAAGAATCGAGTTCCGGAAGGAGCGAGCTATCCCGCCTCGGCTACAGGACATCAATACGTGATATTTGGATGCGATAGCCAACGATTCTCGCCGACTATGATCCTGCTCGAGTCACCATGGTTATTGGTATCACGGCTACGCCATTTGGGAAGAAACTCAGGTGCTGGAAGCTATAATTCACATTTATTATGACTCGATCGTTGATAAGTAGATTTGAGCTTATTTTTTTCTTCTTCTGCAGGAATATGTAAATGTTGAGTTCAAAGCGACGGTTAGTAGCATCTATATCAGGTGTTTATGTTTCGTATTATATTAGACTCGCGATCTTAAGTTTATTTTTGAAGATTTGAGTTCTTGGATTTTCGATTTTATTGTATTTGTTTTCAAGAATTATAAGTTAGGTTAGGTTGATTGTTGCATTGCCTGAAGCTTTGGGAGGTTCGACGGATGAATGAATCCATTACGAATCGCATGTTTTCTCAGAGGATTCATAGTTACTTGATGATTAATCAGATTCAATGATTTGCCACATTACTGAAGATTCTTCCATTATTATTCTGTGTATTTGTTGTAGTGGATGAATGTTACAAGATGAACCATTTGGTAGAACTCTTTGATTTCTTTTGAAGGCGGGTCATACTGCTCAAGCCAGTCCGGAAGAGGCAGAACAAGTGATTCATTGATGCATTCAGATGATTAGCACAGGTACAAATTTTGATTATGAGCAAGTCGGATTATTGCCTATTATTCCAATATAATTGCTTAGATCATCTTGAGTTCAATACAATTATTGAGAGATGTGGAAAGAGCACCATCCAATTGAGTGGGCTGGTTTTTCGTTTATGAAAAAGCTAAAATGGGGGAACTAGAATACTAATGAAACTTATATCTCTTTTATCCCTGAGAAGTCAAATGCAACTAAAATGGGGGAGTTTAGACTCATTAGCCAAGAAGAACCCCTCTCCCCTTTCTTGTTCGCTTCTATAACTAATGTTTTCTGCAGCATTGTGGAAGTTCGTAAAGAAAAATGCATTATCGAAGGCTTTGAAATAGGTGGAGAGGGTCAAAATTTCTACAGATGATACTGTCTTGTTTTGAAAATATGAACATATTAAGCTAGAAATGTAACGGTCTTAAGCCTACCACTAGTAGATATTTTGCTCTTTAGACTTTTCTTTTTGGGCTTCCCCTCAAAGTTTTTAAAGCGCATCTGTTAGGGAGAGGTTTCTACATCCTTATAAAGAATACTTCATTTTCCTCTCTAATTAACGATAAGATCGGATGAAAAATACTGTTATTTTTGAAAATGGCTCTGGCATTACACTTAAAAAGGAACTGCACTGCTCTATGGAAAAACATTATTAGAAGCAAATATGATCACAAGGGCCCTTCATAGCTAGATTCTTCCCAAACTAAATGGATTTGGAAGGAACACAGCACCAGTACATTTTTTTTTGTTTGGCAGTTGGCTCATTGTAGTCTCAACACCATGGACAGTGTTCTGTCCATGTAAGAAATTGTATGTGACAGTTCAAATCCACCACCTGTAGATATTGTCTATTTTGAGCTTTTCTTTTCAGGTTTTCCCTCAAGATTTTTAAACCGTGTCTGTTAGGCAGAGGTTTTTACACCCTTATAAAGAATACTTCGTTTCCCTCTCCAACCAATGTGGGATCGAGAGGGGAACAAAATATTCTTTACAAGTGTGTAGAAACCTCTCCTTAGTAGACGTGTTTTAAAAACTTTGAGAGAAAGATCTAAAGAAAAAATCTTAAGAGGACAAATATCTGTGCTAGCGGTGCCTGAGCTGTTACATCCCAATTAGGTTTATCCACAAATATTTGCCAGGAGTGAAGAAACTAGCAGCCACTTATTTCTCCACTAGTTATTCACTCACAAAGCTTGGATTTTTTATCCTAAAACGCCTAGACGTGGCTTGGTGTCTTCCAAGAAGTCGTTGAAGACGGCCTTTCAGAATTAATCTCCGGTGGATGGCTCAAAGGCAGGGGTTGAGTGATGTGTTCAACTGTGGATACATCTCTCTTTTGGAAAAAATCATTGATTATGCAACAAAAAAAAAAAAAAAAAAAAAAAAAAAAA